AAGATATAACTTAACCAAGCGATTTCATAAACTGAAAATAATTTGCATGTGCGTATGTGTAAAAAGTAAAATACATATTATTATTCTTTCTCTCAAAATCAAGTTTTTGTATTCGAAATTTAAAAGTGTTAGAAAAGTTGCCCTAAATAATTAAAATTAAACCATTAAGAGAATTTAATTAACATTTATTCTTTTGATTGCATCTGTATGTAAAACGCGGTAAGCGAGAGTTACAAGAGCACAATATTTTTACACCATATCATATAAAGTGCTGCCAAGTGAAAGTATACGCACTAAATTCATTCCAGAAGAAGCACGTTTGCTGTGCTAATATTACAACGATCTCGCCCTTGGCAATAAGCCAGCTATTACAAAGAAAGGATTAGAGTTGTTGAAAGTATGTTCATAATAAAAAGATTTGAAATGCATACAAACAAAAAGTATTTCAAACGTATATTTAACAAAATTTGCAGAAAAGAGAAGAATTTTTTTTTAAATTTGCGTCAAAAATACTATAAAATAATATGAACAAAATTAATAAAAAAGAAAAATAAAGATAAAATTTTTCAGTTAAAAATGTTATGCATAAGTAGTACTTTTTTCCATTTTATCAGAAATACATTATTGTTTCTACTTTTATTTCCTCTTCCTAGAAAGTAATTTCCTTTCTTCGTTAGGTAAATATAACATAACATAAGTAAATACTTCTAATATATTATATGTTAGCATTGATTTTTGATAATGCTTGATATGAAGTGCTTACTCAAGAAAGTGGAAAAGATTGTTCACAGTGATTGTCACAGTTGAATAATTAGTAAGATATGTAACCATTGACATCTATTCAAATGTCAATGTTTAACAAAATGTATTGTATTGTATCACGATATTTCAAAAAGAAAATGAAAGAGAAAAATTATATTAAAAAACAAAAGAAAATAATTAGATTAAAATGTGTATAATTCAGACTTAATAAAAAGTTTATATTATAAAATTATTATTAGATTTTTAATTTTAGAATTTAGAATTTTATATTATTTGACATATATAAATATATATATTTCTATTACATATGCATATAAATGCATATGATGAAGTATTTATTGATTATTTTATTTTATGCCTAAAATACAAATTATAAATATATATTGAATAATTATATGTTTCGTTAATGCAATAATAATATATCAGCAATAATATGATCGTTTACTATTAAGAAGATACAAAAAATAGTGTCTATAAAATAATATTTTTGATAACATAATTTTCTGGTAATATCAAGCATTTTAAAATTAATTCTTATATATTCTTATAAGTCAAGGAATTTCGATGATCGATTTACGTATATATAAATTTATTAGAATTATATTTTAGCTTATAAAAAGTATTTATGATTTTTCGTTGTTCAATAAATGTTCAATAAATGTTGTATTAATAGGAAATAATGATACTTTATATAATTTTATTAGATATACAGTCGCATGCGTAAGATTACGATCAAAATAAATCGAAAGCAATTGTAATAATTTCATCTAAGATGTGGATAATTCCTCAATAAATTCATAAAAAAGATAAATAAAAAAATTTTAACTTTATAAAATTAAAAATTTTGAAATAATAGGTTTTTTAAACCATACATTTTCTAATTATATTATAAAAATTGAATAGAGTTTTTTATAAAAAAAATAATATATTATATTATAATCTATTTTTATATAATATATTATATAATATATTATATAATATATAATATATTATTATATAATATAATATTATAATATTATAACTATAATATTATATATATAATTATATAATATATTATATATTAATTGATAGGAAGAACAAATAGCAATAGAGAGCGAATAAGTAGGTGAAAATTATAATAAAGAAAACAGTTATAATAATTTAATAAAAAGAGACGCAAGAGGTGAGAATGTACAGATATTATATATTATTATATAATATATTATAATCTATTTTTGGCAAAATTTGTTGTGTACTTTAAAAAAAATATTAATAATAATATTAATAATAAAATAAAAAATAATAAAATTAATAATAAAATAATAATATACATATTTTAATAATGATAAAATAAAAATATACATATTCTAAATAATAATAAAATAAAAATATACATATTCTAATTACGTTAAGTCAAGCATATCATTCTTGTTTATTAAAGCCAACCGCTACTTGTGAAATCGCGAAGAAAATGACACGACTGTGACTTTCTGCATGCCACTCCAGGATTAAATCCATTCCAGTTATGCCTACAATAAACTTGTCTCGATAGAGATTTATCTATGAAAATATCATATATATCGATTCGTGTAATATATATATCGTGTAATATATATAATATTTTAATATTTAATTATTAACTTATTTGATGTTAGAAGTTTGAAAAATAAAGAGAGCATTTAAACAAATAAAAGCATATATTACAAATTTAAAACAAATTGAGAGAATAAGAGCCATTAGAAATTTAACATAAATATTTTTCGCGACGATTCTATTTTATTTAATGTTGTACAGAAGCTATATTTTCGCAAAAGTGTTGATATTATCTTCAATTAATAATCAAATGAAATATTTTGCGTATAAACAGTACTAATAATCGCTTGCTAAGATACTATTAATGTCGCATAGTTTGACGCGCGAATTATAGGGTAAATTCAGTGTCTGCAAAATTATAGTATGGTAAACCAGAATTTCTTGATCGTTACGAAATTTTCATTAATAGTTTGCATAACCAGTCAAGATTATTAGTGTGACTTTCTCACAAAATTTAGTTGGGAAGATAATGCTTGGAAAATATTGTGTAATTAAAAAACATTATTGCTCTGCACATGACTTCAAATCAATTTAAAATCAAACTTGATACTTGACAGAGATGTTTCTTGATCTAAATGTTAGCTCAGAAGTTTATTAATTAGATTAAATAGTTATGCAACTTGATTAAATTGTTAAATTGATTAATTTTAAACATATGTTTCAAGTTTTTTTTAAAATATAATTTAAAAATCAGTATATTAATTATAGCATTAGTCTCTCTCATGACGGTAACGGGTTGTTACACTTTCTATAAATTTAAGTTCAGATTTATTTAATTTGATTTTTCTTTTTTTTACTATGTTATAAAGAAAGAAAGATATAGTGTAATATATGTAATATTTCAAAAAGAAAATAAGCACAGCATAAATCATAGCGAATTTCAGATAACAATTAATATTTGTATATTGCTTTACATTATTTATTTACCTCATCATTTTATTTATTATTAATAGGAAATTTTTGTAAATCGAAGAATCGCACGAGGACGACATAATTTAAATTATATATGTGTGTGTGTGTGTGTGTGTGTGTGTGTGTGTGTGTGTGTGTGTGTGTGTGTGTGTGTGTGTGTGAATATAAATAATCTTAAATCATAGTTCAAATTAAAATATTTAACCCGAATAATAAGTTGGATCAATTATCAGATTTTTTCATGTCACAATAATACTTATACATATATTCATTATAGAATATATTCATTATAGAAATTAACGACAATGATATCCTAATTTTCAGTTTCCATTCTTTCTATGACATATATATCTTGAATTAGACTCTGTAGAGATCACTGATCTCTTCGAAATATAGTCATCAAGCGTCTTCTTAGCAACCACGTCACTCTTGTTACGTGTTACATAATATGTGAACTATCTAAAGCCGGTCAGATAATGTCAGTTCACCAACAAACGATTGTACACAGCCCGGGGCAAGGCCGTAGACCTGTCTTGCCACTGGCTAGAATCTCGTGAATGAAGTATCACATGGTTGCAGATTTCATTCGCCGCAGGGGGGTACTATCCCTATGTACTATCTCGTCTTCTTTATGACAACGAATTAATCTATTCCGTCAATTTACATATCTAATAATTTGTGATTAATACGCATAAATATGTATTAAAAGGAAAAAACATTATAGTATAAATATGAATAGTTGATGATGTCGAGTTTTAAATGATATTTATAACAGAAAAAATTAAAATTTACAAATATAATTTCTTCTTCTAAGTAACTACATTTGAAATTTCTGTTTTTAAATTAAATTAACCATTATTCGTATCATTTACAGTAAAATTTAATTTAAATTATCTAGCTATTATTTCTTTTAAGAATTAATTTACGAAAGCCCGAAATTTATAACAATTATGACATAGAAATTATATTCTGACAATGATGAGATCGCGACAACACATTGTTAACATTTTAATTCTGCCTAATTAACTGTCTGAATCAGAGCAGTTCATTTCCTTCCGCAATTTTAATTGCAATGAGAATTATCAAGCAGATGCTATAAACGAACCGATAACTAAACATAAAAAAGCATGTTTTATGATCGAACGCAAGGTTCAGTAAATAAGAACGTAGAAAGTCGAGTCGGAATAGTTAGAAACCTATATTTTTGCTTTTACATCTCGAAATGATGTAAATAAAATTCTCATTTGCTCTCCTTTCTCTAATTTCAATCTGATCCTATGGAAGTGGACAAAGAAAAATGGAATTTGAATTTGATATGGGAATACTAAATTCGCTTTCGCTTCAAGCAAAAAGTTCAGTACGAAATTTGACGTCGCAAAAATTTATCAGAATGAAATATCATACCATGGAAATGTGATCCATAGAATACTAAAACGTAAGGTAATTATCTAAATAAAATTATGCTTTAATTAATAATGACAAGTGAGCGATCTAAAAGAAATCCATCAATGTGTAAGAATCAACATACTTTGCTCTATTTTTTCATAAAGATCTGCACTTTACAATTAGAAAATTTTTAGTATATCTCTATCGAGTTTCTCACGAATTTCATTAATTCAAAACAAAACACTCTCGTTTATATTATCTATGGAAGAGCAAAAAAAAACTCTTGAATCGAAAAGATAATTTCTCGGTCTTTTCTCGATTTCCATTTTTAATCTTCGTATGAAATATCACAGACACAATGTACTTACGAGTCTCATCTCTCTTTCTTTCTTGATCTTCCCGAAACTACCGCGAGACGGAACGAGCACGTTCTCCGCGTTCCCCGTGAACCGTGCACAAGTCGGCCGCCAACTGCAGTTGCACTCTCGTTAGTCGGCGAGAGCCTAGGAACAGAGCACGGTGGTGTGCCACCTGTGTCTCGCGGGGGTACGTTCCCGGTGTGATGGTCGTGGATGGTAGGGGGGGCTCCGGAAGCAACGCCTACTACTGTTTGCGGGTCTAGAGTAGAATAAAGGTTCCTCAAAGTAACGGTGTAAATCCTAGATAATCGGATCGGATCGGCGGCTCACAAGTACTGTCCGTCTCTGCTGGCGTAGAGGACCGTTTGACTCCAGGTGGGGACCATTCCTGGAACTTATATGTCGCCGTTGGAGGCCACCCGCGGCCGGCTCCCTGTTCCCCTCTTCTTGCGCCCTCATCCGAATCATTACCCTTCCGAGGGGCGCCAGTGATGGTCAAGGTGACCTTCGCCTCGTGGGGATACCGCGGATAGGCAGCAGTGAAACAGCAGAAAGATTGCAGCCACTTCGCAGGCAGATAGTCGATTCGATATTTTATTTTTTTATTTGTGAATCACGACAAGGAAGGAGGAAGAAAGTGGCACAGAGTATTTTTTTATATATATAAATTCGTAAAGTGTACTTTGAATCGAATAAAAGTAAAAGATTTTTCACTTAGCAAAGTAACATTGACAAGCAATAAAAATAAAAAATAATCATTTTATTATAAATGTTTTATTAAATATTTAATAAATATGTGAAGGAACCATCTGTGATTACGTCTGCGGAAAGAACGAAAAATAAAACAAAAAAACAATGCAAATTGTGATTAATGTCGACTGAACCGCAATTCTTCTCTTTTTTGCGACAAAAAGAAGCTCTTTCTTGCTGCTCATAAAGATGGCAAATTAGCTGGCGTAATCCTTTATGGCAAAATAATGCATGCGGCTACTTAACGTATCTAAACATTACATTCTAAATATTACATCTCAATGTCTATCGCATCGTGCCCCGGCTTGGAATCCGGATCTGTATTCTGTGAATGCAACATGATGACGTCATCTACTGTTACAGAATAATGCATAGCATGCAAATCTTATCTCGAATATTTAAACGCCCTCTGCGCGTCCAAAATTTTTAAAACGATAGATTAAAGACGCGATAAAATTCTAAAATTGCTTACAAATATGACATTCTATTAATCATGTGCTATTAATCCTTTGAATCATATTTGATAATAAAAGTCTTGAGATGATTATAAAATTTTATAGGAATATATATATATATATATATATATATATATATATATATATAGTTATACAGAAATCCTGTTTGAATCAATTGATTAAATTATATTTACCAGATTTATATAACAGAGGACTAGAATATGATCGCAAGCGCATAATTAGCATTTATAGCATATATTTAAACATTTAGCGATTTTAAAATCATTATTATAGTACTGCATTTAATTGCTCGATTGAATGTAATTGACTGATTATGAAGACATGGTAATATACTATTCTCGCAGGATACGCCGTGACTTCCGATGCAGGAAAAATTCCCGTCACACATATGTGTGTCATTCGTGCGTACAATAATTGCCATAATAGGGTAATCGACTAGTAGTACATCCGCGAATCGTTATTAGAAAGGAAAAACTTATCTAATCCTTATTCTTTACGTAATCCAACATAACCGATTACCTTGGAAAAAAATATCTTTGACACATTCCAAATAATAGTATTAATATTATAAGAATAATGCACAAAAATATATTATTCTGCTATTTTAATTTATATGCTACGTTAAAATTGAAAAAAGAAATAGTGTGTTGTTTAATTTTAATTTTTTTCTCGATGACGCGTGTAGTTTTCACGTGAAGTAGAAAGATTCTGATCATTGCGTCTGTCGAGATCATTCGAAATCATGAACGAGAGAACATGATACTATAATATTATACATAATTATGGTTTTGAACGAAACGACGTATACCACATATATGCGAGATACTTTATGATTAGCTTTGTTAAAGCTATCAACGTCAATAGCCTGCGTCGATTTAATTACCACTCTGTTCTAAACCGCTAACTGTATCTGACCCATTTATCGTAGTTGCAAGTTGCGATCGTTTCGAGCAATTCTTGCAATCTTGCTCGCGTTGAGAAAGTACTCGCAGCGCAGCATCAGCGTAACTCTCGTCACGCGTATAATCACGGTTTCTTGACCTTCGTTAAAAATGGAATGCTTAACCTTAACCCGCTAATTAGCGTGCTTTTAACCGCAACATCGTGCAAGGAAAGACGAACCAGAAATGCTTTCCGATCGGGCTCCGTGTCTAGTCACGAGTTGAACCTTGCACGATTGACTGTGACCCTCAGTTGCCTAAATTCGGTTTAATTAACGAGGCCACTCGCCCGAGGGGGATATTCCGCTTTCGACATGCATTTCCTACCCGCTTGCTTCCTTCCTTTCTCTCGTGCTTTTCACTTGTCCTTTCAAGAGGCAGCAAACATTTCTAATATTGTAAGAGAAAAATGTAAATAGTTAAATAAATATCGATAAATTCCCATTAATTCTTTTACTACAGAATTCTTTACTATAGAATTACTATAGAATCTTTTACTATAGAATTTTGTAATGTCAAGATATCGATGTTTTGATTCGCGTTAGTTTCAATGTGTTATATTAATTATAATATAGAATCTTTACTATTATTTTTATACATTACTTATGATATTTTATATAACATGCAAAAGCAGCTATAAAACACTACTATTAAGCAATGTGTTTCATTGTTTGTAATTAATGTTGTATTGTAACTATTAGAAAATCTGAAGCATAGAAAGACCATCTTATAGTATCGTAATTAATAAATGTTCCAGAAGAAACAAATAAATTCTCGCGAAATAGAAAAGATAATTTAAATTACATTTATAGAGTTGACCTTAAATATATTTTCGAATTCGTTTCGATATCGTTCTGCTTCCTGACCAAGCGAATTAAGTCGGACCGAAGAGAAAATCTCGATCGATCGATCGAGGACGCTCATTACCCGTGAACGAAGCATTGTCGTAAAATTGTATAATCAATTACGCGAACTTTAGAATGACACTTATAAAAGTATAACAAGGTCATTGAAAAGAACAGTTGATAGAGATGATTAAAAAAGAAAAAAATAAACTGTAATATTTATGCAGAATTTAATGAGCAATAATTTTTTTATTGACAATTTTCTTGTTAAATCACGTGAATGCATGAATAATCTGACGCATCTAATATAACATAAACGAATGCAGAAATCCAACTACATCATCTACACGATCTTATTTGTGGGTTGGTCACGACTTGATCACGCTCGATTCTATTTTACGATAGAATACGCGGAAGCAGTAATATCATCGACAGTTTAACATAATTGCAAAAGAAATTAATTATTGATATTTTATAATTACCATAAGAATTATTTCTTACGTTACAACGCAGTATTTTGCATATATTTGCATTTGTCGCAGCCTTAAAATGTTTTACATAAATTATTTCGATAATGAAAACATCAATTAAATTTCTGTTAACTCTAACTAAAAAGTAAAATATCGATATACTCTCTCTCTCTCTCTCTGTGTATATATTTATTAAAACTGTTACCAAAACATCAGTTAGATTCTAAAGATAAATATAAATATATAAGTGTAATATTAATTCTTAATTTGATGGAGAATTTTCTCGTTTTTTCATTGTTATATAAGTGACACTATAATGACATTTTAATCGGTAATCTTTATCAAGGATATATCTATATGACTATTTTATATGCTTATCAAAGAATATATCCTTGCTATGAAGACTCATTTTCCGATCGTCATGGATAGCAAATAAGGTTTTGTCCAATATTTCTATGCTGTCTTGATATTCCACGTGTCACATTAATTAATTCTCACAGTTATGCGCATAATAATAAATATTATCGTTGCATAATTAACACAAATGAGCAATTATCCGATAATTGAGGTTATTCGAAATATTTTGAGATGATAGATAAGCCCGTTGACGAGAAGTGTCCCTAAGGATCTCCAGTCCGAGAAGGTCCAGCTCGGAAAGCGAGTCTAACGAGCCTGTTTATCGAAGGTAACGACGCGACCTCATGAAAAGTGCATTCGTACCGCTAATTATCCACCTTCGGCGCGCACAGCACCGTCTTACGAATAATAAACTAGTAATTTACTAGGTGCGTCACGCGTATTGAACGTCCATGAGCTAATTTCGTTTTTAACGGAAATTTGAAAAGTGTTTACTTCCGGTGGTGCAAAGACGCGGTTTAAAAAGATTATTCGCGGTTTTCGCCCAATTTCTAAAAGTAAAGCGATATGGCGAGAACGATCATATCCTTGGTATGCACGTAGAATGTAAGGTCGTTTATGAAAGTTTGCTTGCCAAACCCCCAATGTCATAGTGGATGTATCGAAACAGCGAATAATTATGAAAAATTAGTTTAAAATAATTAATTTCTCAAATATTCAATTTTAGGACGAGCAAGATCAGATGATTCTTTACATTCAATGATTTATATACGCGAGTAGTTATCTTATATATACGATAAAAATATAATACAATCAAAGTCGTAATTATAATTTTATTCGAAAGATATAACATCTTATAAAACATCTTAGGGTATTATATTTATGAAATGTTAAACTTTTTTTCGCCACGTTATGATCACGAAGTAAAGTCTTATTTTATCGTAAAATCAGATAGTGCACGGCAAGTTTTCTTGAATTTCTTTTTTCCATTAGTTCTGGATAATAGGTGAACGTTCCTATAAATCACTTTACGACAATTCCGATATATCAAGCACTGCAATGAGTTTATTCAGTTTATGGTTGGTCGGGTTTCAATCGTCCAAGTGTCGTCTCGATGCCATTTATTCTCGAGATCCACTTACTCAGCCGTCTTATTAATAGAAATAATTGAGATCATATAAATGAGACTTTCAAATATAGTGATGTTCTTGGGTTAATTATGTTAAATTGAAAGCTCTTGAAATACTTTCTCTTTGAATACATTTTTTTATTATATTTTTAATTTTTTGTATATTATTAATCTATATATAATCACATTTATTTATTGTTATATGCTATATGTTATATGTTATACTTATCATATAACTGTTCGAGTAATATTATTAATTTAGATATTAGTTAGCACGTGTCAAAATCAGAAATAATTATAATTGCCCATGACATGGTAACGCTTGTAATTTTACGCATCAGACCAGACCATGGTCTTGGAGCAAGGTCGTTATTCTGCTCTCAAATCCAATC